TCTCACAACTGCTCTCTGCGCGCGGGGGCCCAGTGTACCCAAGGGGACTGCTGCACGCGCTGCCTGGTGAGGGCAAGGAAGGCTTGTGGTGAGGGTTGCGGGGCGCTTGGGATCGGCCTGTGGTGGCCTTGGCTGATTGGAGACCTCCGGTCCCCCTGCTGGGTGCCGGCTCTGCTCTCCGTGGGTCCACTGGCCCCTGCCGCCCAGCTCCCCCACTTCTGAGACACGCTCTGGGGGTGAATCTCTTACTGTCCATTGTCTCTTTGTCCTCCCCGCACTGGGTCACCTGCGCAGCTGAAGCCAGCAGGTGTGCTGTGCCGCCAGGCCGCAGGAGACTGTGACCTTCCTGAGTTCTGCACGGGTGCCTCCCCCAACTGCCCCCCGGACATTTATGTACTGGATGGCTGGCCCTGCGCCAGGGGCCATGGCTACTGCAGGGATGGTGTGTGTCCCACACTTGAGCAGCAGTGCCAGCAGCTCTGGGGGCCTGGTGAGAGGACAGGAGCACCCTTGCACCCTGCCCCAATCCTTGGGTCGGCCCAGTTTTCTACTGTGGGAAGATGGGCAGGGGGAACTGAGGACCGCCGAGCATGGCCCCTGCCTGCCTGGGCTTCCCCCAGCTCAGCCCATGTTTTCTCAGGTTCCCACCCAGCCCCAGAGGTCTGTTTCCAGGTGGTGAACTCCGCAGGAGACGCTCATGGGAACTGTGGCCAGGACAGTGAGGGCCACTTCGTGCCTTGTGCACAGAGGTGGGGAGTGGAATGGGGGGAGCAGAAGCTGGGGAGTGAGGGAAAAGGGGGGACGCTGCAGGCTGTGCCAACCCCCACTTCCTCCCCAGGGATGCTCGGTGTGGGAAGCTGCAGTGCCAGGGTGGAGACCTGAGCCCACTCGCACCGTACACGGTGCCAGTGGACTCCACTGTTCACCTGGATGGCAGCGAGGTGACCTGTCAGGGAATCTTTGTGCTCCGCAGTGCCCAGCTGGACCTGCTTGACATGGGTCTCGTAGAGCCGGGCACACAGTGTGGACCTAGAATGGTGAGTCCTGCCCACTTGCCCCCTCCTTGCCACTTGAGTGCCACAGGCCAGAGTGCCCCCTCACTGCCCAGTGCTCCCTGCCCACAGGTGTGCCAGGACAGGCGCTGCCAGAACACAACCTTCCAGGACCTGGAGCACTGCCTGACCACCTGCCACGGCCACGGGGTGAGTAGCGCAAGGGGTGGGGGTGACTTTGGGGTCCCTAATCCCACTCCACCCTCCTTCCCTTCTCTTCTCCTCTGCAGGTTTGTAATAGCAACCATAACTGCCACTGTGCTCCAGGCTGGGCTCCACCCTTCTGTGACAAGCCGGGCTTTGGTGGCAGTGTAGACAGCAGTCCTGTGCCGCCTGAAAGTGTGTCGGTGGGGCGAAGGCAGGCAGGCGGGGCCAGGTTGATGGACCTGCCCAGGACTCAGCCCACCCTGTCCTCCGCAGGCCATGACGCCTTCCTGCTGGCCATGCTGCTTAGCTTCCTGCTGCCTCTGCTCCCTGGGGCCGGCCTGGCCTGGTGCTGCTACCGGCTCCCAGGAGCCCATCTCCAGCGATGCCCCTGGGGCTGGAGGAGGAACCCCACATGCAGTGGGTAGGCTCTGAGCCCACTCTTGTGGTCCCTCTCCTTAGAGCTCTCCAGGGAGCTGGGGCAGGGTCCCCAGCCTTGCCCCCAGGCGCAAAGAGAGGCCCCAGTGGCCTCCCAGTGAAGCTGAGGTTGTGGATGCCTGCCCCCACCAGCACCCCAGGGCACAGCCCTCTACCTCTTCCCCTCCAGTATAGCTGCTCTTGTCCACGTCTGTAGCTTCTCCCACCAGGTGGCTGCCTCACCTTGACTTTGCCGTTTTTTGCCCCAGTTTAGAATGCAGTCCATGCTCCCCTGTGCCCTGGAGGCCTCCCCAGCCATTGTCTTCGTTTTCAGCCCTCTACCACTTCTTCTGCCCAAATCGCCTCTGTCACTCCCTTCAAGTTCCCAGGTGCCAGGCCCAGCACATCTTTTCACTCCATACCTCCGGTCAGCCAGGGGCCTGCCCCTAACCCAATTCTGTGATCTGGGAGGAGGGTCACATAATACGAAGCATAGTTGTCCTGAGGCTGCCCCTGCACTGGGAACTTGGGCAGGTCAGGCACCCATGGCCATGTCTGACTCAGCCTGGCCTTGAGAGTGCTCTGGGCAAGCAGAGGGAGAAGGCAGGGTTTGGGTTGGAGATGGGGACAGAGGGCATCCCAGACAAGGACAGGGCACCAACCAGGCCTTGCTGAGAGGGCCTTGACACATGAGTAGTGATGAGGGTGTGTAGGCAGAGGAGCAAGGTGGTCAGAGTTTGGTGCATCAGCCTGGGGGCCAGAGCGTGGTCTGCATCTCACCTCTGGAATGGGCTCTTGAGGTCGGTGGAGACTGTTTTGAAGGGAAGTCAAAGGAAGTGGCAAGGCCCTGGGAGATGGGGTGGGGGGACAGCCAAAGATGGCTTGGAGTCATCAAGGGTAGCAGGATACCCAATGGCTAGGAGCACAGACACAGCTGCCACAGTGGGGACAGGGGGACATCCAGGCCTCTTTGGGACCTGAGTGATACCAACATCTGGAGAGCACCAGGCTGCTGGGGTGGTGCAATCTTGGGAGAAATGTCAAGGCTGGAGGGAGGAGGTGCCAGTGGCCTGGGAGGGCATGAGTCACAAGTGGAGGTGGCTCTCAGGAGGGAGCAGGAAGGGAGCTTAGAGCAGAAGGGTGGAAACTCAGTCAACACAGGGCCCCTCGCTAGACGCCACGCAGTAGGGAAGCAGTCCCGGGGACCCCTGCCCAGGGTCACTGTTCCAACCTCCTGTACGCAGGGACCACCCCCTGTGCAGTGTTCGCCCCACGGAGTTGGGCCCCACAGCCACGAGAGAGCCCTGGCCCCTGGGTGAGTGAGGCCCCAGGGGGAGGTGGGGAGGGAAGCAAAGTGTGGGCTCTTGCCTTCTGCCTTCTTCCAGATAGGCCCCTCCTCTCCACTTAGCACCCAGCCACCCTGAGTCCCCTGTGCCCCACCTCAGCCCCTGGGACTCCTGCTGACTGTGTTGACAGCATTCATCGTCCGCCATTGCTCCCAGACCCTGAGAACCCTGCCGGAGCCCAGCAGCCTCCCTGAGAAGCCTGGGCCCTGTAGCTCCACCTGACCCCCAAGGTAGGTAGGGACCCGACATAGAGCCCTTCCCCCCCAATGTCTGTCCATTCACCCTCTCACCCCTCAGCCCCTCAGCTCCCTACCCCTACTCTGAGGTTTCTAAGCTTGGTTATTATGCAAATGAGACATGACCTCTTGGAGAAGCTGTTGTCATGGAGACCAGGATGCTGGAAGCCCCTGGGAGGGGGAGGCAGAAGCTATGGCTCTTCCTGGGTAATTGGTCCTCTCTGGGAAGACAGGCCCCCTGCCACATGGTTTGCAGCCTGGGCTCCAGTCCTCAGGGGATGACCATCCTCCTTCTCATTCTTAGCAAGTCAAGTCCAGAAGCCAAGATCCTGCCTCTGGTGAGAAGTGGCTCCTGATTTGAGGAGACTGAAAGACAGGTGGCCACTGACAGCCACTCCAGGAACTTGGACCCCCAAGGGCAGTGCCAGCGAGTCAGCTGACCTCATGCACCTTCAGGCAGCTTGGAAGTTTCTTCCCCCCATTGAGCTCCCAGCCGCCCACTCAGGACCCCTGAGCCTCATCAAAAGCTGCCCATTGGGGTCCCCACCCCTTAGGGCTGCAGGATCCCACTGGGTACACCCTCCAGCTCACATAATCCACCAGACCCAGGAGCAAAGGCCATTTAAGAAGTTTAGGGGCTCACATAACTGGGATATTGTCAAATTCTGCATCCTCTCACTCTTTACCTCTTTACCCCCGCTTCCTTTGCTCTAGGATGACTTCTTTTTCTCAGGCAGGTTCCTGTAAAAATGCTCTTACAGAGTGCACCTTTTATAGTCCCAGCAAAAATCCCAGAAGGAACTCTGATTAGTCCAGCTTGGGTCACGTGTCCATTCATGAGCCAGTCACGATAGCCTGAGAGATACTGTACATCCATTGGCCAGGCCTGGGTCACGCACAGTTCCCTGGAGTCCTGGGATGGAATCAGCCCAGTAGAGCCACAAGGGGTGAGACTGGGGAAGGAACAGTTTCCATGAAAAAAGAGATAGATTCTGTTACTAGAAGAAGCAATTCCAAACAGACAAAAATGGGTGTCTCCTATGTGAGATATTTGCTCCTGGGGCCACATTTCTGTTTCAGCTCTGGAAGTCTTCCCAAGAGACTTCCTAAGGTTTAGATGACAAATAGATACATAGATAATTTAAAATGTTAGTCCACGTACTCCAGAAAGAATGTACAGAAATGGTCATAGTAGCATTATTTTCTCTCTTTTTTTTTGTCTTTGGCAGAGAGCATTATTTTCAATAGCTAAACAGTAGAAAAAATTTTCAATATCCAATAATATAAGAATGGATAAAATATGGCAGAGTCACATTCGTGGAATACTATACAGCAGAAAAGTGAACTGTTCTACAAACACCAACATGAATAAATCTCAAAAGTGTTGAGCGAAAAAGCAAGTTCCTGAGTGATAAATACAGTAAACCACTTATACAAAGTCTGTACATACGCAAAACAATACTGTATCTTGTTTAGAGAAAGACAACATAGTGGTAGCTAGGGGGTACTAAGGGGAATGGGGCTGGGGGTAGCACAGGAACTGACAGGGGACACTAGGGCTAGTGGGTTGGGGTCCTTCTTGGCACATTGAGGTGCTGGATCCCGTGACTCTAGGATCTACCTGAAAGCGCAGACTGGGGTGGGGACTCAGTGGGGGCGGGGAGTCACTGCCACTGCAAAGGCTCCTCCCAGTGTGTCACACACACCTGGGTTTCCACTGTGCTCCTGCTGGGAAAGCACTAGGAAGCTGGCACCTGTCTGACTAAGGTTCTGCCTCCGCCATCCTTCTCTGTTCACTGTCCAGCATGGAGCGCTGCTTGGGGTCCAAGCAGCTGCTGCTGCTACTGCTGCTACTGGGTGAGCGCTCATCTCCTCTCCCAACCTGGCCTCTCTGACCCTGCTCCTCCGGGACAAGGTGGGAGCACAAAAGAGTGATTCCGGGGAAAGCCAGAAGTATGCAGAGGCACTGGGGAGAGGCCTGTGCTTGGGGTGTGGGGACACCTGGCAACCTAACCCGCTGTGTGGCAAGCATCCGCCTTTGGGCCCAGCTGAGCCACCCCCCCTTGATACCAGCCTTGGCATCTGTGCCCCACGAACTTTCCCCTGTTGTTTCCCTTTTCCCAATTCTGTACCCATTCCTCCACCCTCAAGACTGCTTGCTCAAATCTTCAGTGTCTCGCATCTGCTGTTCCACTTCCAACTGCCCCTTCCCCACCTGGGGCATGGGGAGGGTGGGGCACTTTATGGCATGTGGTGTGGAGAACGGAATCTGGTAAAGGTTTAAAGCAGGAGATCTTGGAGCTGCGATGCGCTGATTTGAGGGTGGAAACAAGGTAAGGAAGCTCCTGGCAAGGAAGACGGGTAAGCACTTACAGGCAGGTCCAAGACCTGAGGCGACACTAGGTGCTGTTAGGGACCTCTCTGAATCCACACCCTGGCAGCCAGGCCTAAATGGGCTCTCCAGTGGTCAGAGCCCTTGCTGAGAATCCCTCTTTGGCTTGGCTGCTGGTGGTGAAGGGGCTGGGGGAAGCCAGAGTCCAGATGGGGCGGGATGAGTTAGACCCGAGGGAGCATCAGGAAAAGACTGAGGCAAGAAGACACTGGAGGCAGGGGGCAGTAGGAGGCGCACAAGGTTGAAAAGGAGAGAGAAGCAGAAACCTATAGTCCCACCCAAAGGGTCTCGCTGTTGGGGGAGGTGGAGAAGGGGAGAGAAAGCAAGGCCAGGCTTCCCAGCGTGTCAAGAAGAGAGGACAAGGAGCGGCAGCTGTCCTCAATGCCATGTCTGAGAAGTCTCCAGGCCCCCAGAAAGCCTGTTTCCCCCATCAGGTAGGGCCCGTGAGGGTGGAAGAAGCCCCGTGGACCTCTCTGGGTGTGTGCGGCCATGCTAGGGATAGAGGTGGTTCCGGGAAGGCCAGGCTCGGGCCTCAATGCGTCCCCTCCAACCCTGACGTGTTGCAGAGACCCCCAGAGCCCGAGCCTGCCCATCCTCGCGACGGAGAGCCGGTCAGCGCCAGTCAGCCACGTCTTTGGGCCACACTCTGCGTCCCTCGGGTTTTGAGCGTCCCCCACCTTCCGAGAGCGTGGCCGGGGGGCGGGGTGAAGTGTGCACGTAGGGCGCACAGAGCACTGCAGCCCTCCCGCTCCTCCACCAGGGTCCGCGAGCCCGGCGGGAGAGAACCGATGCGTGGACGCGGCCGAGGCGTGCACGGCGGACGCGCGGTGCCAGCGGCTGCGCACCGAGTATGTGGCGCAGTGCCTGGGTCGGGCCGCGCCGGGGGCCTGCCCTCGCGCCCGCTGCCGCCGCGCCCTGCGCCGCTTCTTCGCCCGCGCGCCGCCCGCGCTCACCCACGCGCTGCTCTTCTGCCCGTGCTCGGGCCCCGCGTGCGCCGAGCGCCGGCGCCAGACTTTCGTGCCCGCCTGCGCCTTCCGGGGGCCGGGACCAGCGCAGCCCTCTTGCCTCCA